AAAAAAAAGAGTGATTTAAACAAATAGATAAAGTAAAAATAAAAAGCAAATTTGAATGAACTCATCAAGTGCAGGGATGGATATTTATATTTTTCTCAATACTAAAGGTGTTCCACAGTATAACAAATTATTACATATTCATGTAACAGGAAACCTCAGCCTCTGGTACTTTAAGACAGAAAACCAACCAAGAAATGATTCAATTTTTAACATTCTGTCTAATGAGAAAAACATAAACTGGTTCATAACTTCACTAATAAGTTCACATTTCCAACTAGCATTTTATAAAAGATCTTCTATACTCTTTGATGATTTACATACATTATTCCTTATAATGCTGTCCTTTAAAAAAAATTCACCTTCCTTTAACAAAAGAAAACTAATCCAGTAGATGTGATTCACCCAAAATAGCAGAACTCCACCATATAAAAAAATGGATTATTGATTCTCAACCCTTGCTGCACAAATGTAAGCATGTAGTCTCGAAAGGATACTAGGTAGTAAAAATTACAATATTATCATTCCTTTGCTAACATTGCAAATCTAAAAAAATCTGCTGAATGTTAGAAATTTTAACTTTCACCCACACAGCAATTTAAGCCAAAGAATCCTCATAGAAAAGATGGTAAAGTAAGGATACTGAAAAGCATTTTATCCTCCCAACCTTTGCTAATCTAAATTTTAGTCTAAGTCCATAACCCATTATATAATACACATAAGGAGCAAATAAATGTGTCTTGGAATCCAGAAGTTTCAGGTCTTAGGATGGTATTAAAATTCATGCAAGATATATTGGATTTTACTCCAGCAGGAACTTAGGCAGCAACATTTAATCAAACACAAATATTTCTGCTGTGAAACACATGAATGCTCATATGAGTCTGTGCTAAACTTAGGTGGGGGAATGTTCATTTTTCAGAGTTGGGAATCAGAAGTAAGGGATTATAATCCTATGTCTGCAAAGCATGGCCATGTAATTCTTTTAAAACAAAAAGATGAAGATTAAAAATAAGTACCCCTCTTTTTTGGATTGAGGAGGATAGCAGTTTTAGTATTTTGCTTGTCTTTAAAATTACCTGCATAATTTTTTTTGTTTATTTTTTATTTTTTTAGGCAGAAAAACAAATTTATTATCAGATAAGGAGAAAGACAGAAGTGTTCTGAGCAGAGCGGGGGCCTAAAACAGTAGCTCATCCATATAATTCTTTTCACGAATTTTTAAAAAATATTTTCTGCTTTTTTAAGATTTATTTGTGCATACAGAACTGGGGTACAGGCCAGAGGCTCAGGGGCGGCGAGAGGCTTCACCAGAGACAGAGTGGGGAGCAGAACAGGCAGACTGAGGAAGTACGCTGCTGAGGGGAGCAGTCAACGCCTCAGGAGAGGTCTGCCGCGCCATGAGGGGCAGGAGGGATGAACTCATGCTAAAGTGGCTTTAGCTTCTTAGTGCTGTGCTTTAACCTGCTGCGCCACCAGGGAGGGCCCATTTTCTGCTAATTTTTTAAAAGATCATTAATCTGCTCCAAAAGAGTCAAGACTCAGTCTTAGTCAATTAAAAGGCTAACAATTCAACTTAGAGAAAAGGGAGAATAGGAGAACCTAAATCTCTATCAAAGGTTGTAGCAGTTTTAAGGGCTGCTGGATTTTAATAGTACCAGTGCTCTGGCTAAGTTTTAGATGCTGCAGAAACAACCCATTGCTCAATAACCTCTTTTCCAAAAATAACATGGGACATCATCAAGGAAAATACATAGCAATCCAATGCCAATATACCAATAGCTAGTGCTGGCAATCCACACATTTTAGTCATGTAAAATGCCTGTGTTGTGTGTGTTTGTATTTGTGTGTGTATATATGCACATTACAAGATGTATAGAACAACAAAACTCAAGCGGTAAATTTGTTCCAGAAATTAAGTTTTCTTTTTAAAAATTTTACTGTCATCAAAAATTTTTACTGTCATTTAAATATATATCTAAATTTATCATTTTAGCCATGTTTAAGTGTCAAATCCAGTGGCACTAAACATGCTCACAATGTTGTGCAACCATCACTGCTGTCTAAATCGTCTATGGCCCCAAACACAAACTCTGTAATCACTAAGCACTAACTCCCCAACTTCCCTTCCTTCCAACCCTATAACTTTCAATCTATCAGTATTTTTGTCTCTATTAGTTTCTCTATTCTAGATATTTTATATTAGTAGAATCATACAATATTTGTCCTTTTATCTACTATTTAACCCAGCACGAAGTTTTCAAGATTTATCTGTGTTGCAGCATTTATCAGAATTTACTCCCTTTAATGGCTGAATGGTATTTCCATCCTAAGTATATTAGCACATGTTGCTTATGCGTTCGTTCATCTGCTAATGAATTCTGGGGCTGTTTCCACCTTTTGGCTTTTGTAAATAATCATCTATGAACTTGGGTGTCCAGTATCTGTTTTTTGTCTCCTTTATGTTTTAATATATACTTAGGAGTTGAACTGCTAAGTCACATGTTAGTTCTCTATTTCACTTTTGAAGAACTACTAAAGTGTTAGGAATTAAGTTTTGAAAAAAAAATCATTTTAAAATATTTCTTTTCTTAGGCACAGTTATAAATGAAATGTGTACTGTAAAAAATGTTAAATACTTGGCCCTCCCTGGTGGCACAGCAGGTTAAAGCACTGCACTAGGAAGCTCAGGCCACTATCGCATGAGTTCGATTCTCCCCGGGGGAGATCCACATGGCGTGGCAGACCTCTCCTGACCCGCCCGCTGCTCCCCTCAGCAGTCAGTTCGTCGATCTGCCTGTTCTGCTCCCCACTCTGTACCTGGTGAATCCTCTCACCCTCCACCTCTCTGCCTATACTCCAGTTCTGTATGAACAAATAAACAAATCTTTAAAAAAAAATGTTAAATACCATCAGCTTCACAGAAGTTGTCTGAGGAATCATCATGCTTGGTCCACTGTAGAACAGCCTTTTGCGTTTCCTCACTTCAAACAAAGAAAATAGTGTTATTTTTTTGTGAAATTAACATTTCATATGAAAACACATACAACCCTAAAAAAAAAAAAAATCAGACCTCAGAGATTCATCCACAGCTCCTAGTCGTTCGGCTTGTTCACATTCTTCAATAAAATTATTGGCTTCTTCAGAATACTAAAATGAAAAGGAGGTTTAACTAGAATGTAATTTACTGCATTTTTATACATTTTAAAAGGAATTTTGAAATTATTTGAGATTCTATTATCTCTAGCATCATCTGCCTGGCTTCAAATTAAAAAAATAAATTAAGTCCTCAAATTTTTCCTTGAAGTTAAAACAGTAAGGAATAGGCTTTATCCCTTGTTTTTGTTGGAAAGCTTAATTCACTATTATGGTTACAAAATAAAGAATAGATTACAGTTCTAATAACTCACTACTAAAATCTCCACTAAGAAAATCTTAAAGCTGGGAAGCAAGCCACTAGATAAGAAGTCATTAGGCAATGTCCCAATTTTCTAGTGACCTAATTTGTTTTTTTCTTTTTTTTCCCCATACATCTGGGGTACAGACCAGAGATGGAGAGGATTGACCAGAGACTGAATGGAAAGAAAAACAGGCAGATCTACTGAAATACACTGCTGAAGGGAGCAGCAGGTGAGACAAGAGAGATCTGCTGTGCCATGTGGGTCATTCCCTGGCCAGGGTCAAACTCAACCGCAAACTCAAGCATGGTCATAACTTGATAGCTCTGAGCCTTAATACCTACACCACCAAGGAAGCCCTCAAGTGACCTAATTTGTGAGGACAGTTTTCTCCTGCATAAAATAAGTATCTGGACTAGATCATGTATGTCTACAAACCATCTCAACCCTAAATATCGTGATTCTAGAAACACCATGGCTAGAGATGTGATACATATGTACATGTTATGGAACATTATTCAACTGTGAGAAAGCAGGAAATCATGCTATTTGTGACAGCAAGGATAGACCATGAGGACACTGCACTAAGTGAAATAAGCCAGAAAGAGAAAGACAAGTAATATGTGGAATCTCTTATAGGTGGAATTAAAGAAGAAGTCAAACTCATATAAACAAAGTGAAAAAGTGGTAGCAAGAGACTAGGGGACTCAAGGAATACAGAGGTTAGTAAAAGGTTACAAATTTTCAGCTGTACGATAAATAAATAAGATCTAAAGATCTTGTGTATTACTTGGTGACTACAGTTGACAGCATTGTACGATGTAGCTAGAATCGGCTGGGAGGTTAGAAATAAATGTCAACAATACAAGTAAATAAAAGGTAATTATTTGTCGAATAATTTATGGAAAGACTCCTTTCATAATATATAAGGAGCCCACTGAAAGAGTTCCCACCTGGCCAAAACTAGAATGATTTGAGTAACAAAATCAAGCAATACTTAATTATAATCCAAACAATAAAGTTAATATCCATGACATAAATAAATAACTGAATAAGTAAGGAAGTGGAAGGAAGAGACACCAAATTTCCCCTAGGGAAAAATTTCAAATACCATCCTCCAGGAGATAAAGCACTCTAAGTGTGGACTGAGCATAGTGAATTCCTTCCAAAGAACAAGAGTATCGAGTGGCAAGGGGCAGCAGGTGGGAGCAAATCTGCTGTGGAAAAAACTGACAAAAACTACCTCAGTCAGGTGGTAAATTAACATCAACATTGATATGTTAACAGAATATATCCATGATATGGTGTGATGAATGGAGCTGGAAGGGATTATGATAAGCAGAAATAAGTCAGAAGGTAAAAAACAAATAGCGATGTCTTGTAAGTGGATTATAGAGAAACTAAGCAAAGGAAGAGAGAAAGCCAAACTTTAACACTAACCCTAGAAAATTGATTATAACACTGGGGAAACCTGAGTGAAGGGAGCTCAGAGGGTAATGACAAGCTAGAGAGAGAGAGCAGAGGGCTAAAGTGGTAAAACATGGATGTGTCAGTGGTGGGTGCACAGTGGTAGTAATACTTGGGGCAGGGGTGTCCTATACTGCCAAAGTATAAACAATGATGCAAACTAACATTATCTTGACTAAAAAAAAAAAAACATTTTCTTCCTTCCCCCAAATACATACCCTTAGTCTAATGAGAAAAAGACAAGAAAATCCTAATGGTGAGACATTCTACAAAAAGACTCACAAGTATGCCTCAAAAGCATCTTATCAAAACCAAGAAAAGTCCAAGAAACTGTTAAGAGTCAAGTAGAGTCTAAGGATATGTTACTAAATATAAAGTGGTACTCTGATTGGAATCCTGGAGCAAAAAAAGGTGATGAGGTAAAAAACTCAGAAAATACAGCTTAAGTGTGAAGTTTAGTGAGTGATAATGTATCGATATTGGGCCAGCAATGTAGCATAATAATGGACCATACAAATCATACTATTATGTTAACTACAGAAGAATTTGGGTGTAGGTTATATGAGAACTCTGCTCTATCTTCACTTCACTGTAAATCTAAAAATACTACATAATTAAAATCTTATTTAAAAAGGGACATATCAACCAACTGCAAAGTGCAATGTGTGAAAAATGCTTGAATCCTGCTTTAACCAAATTATTAAGGCACCTAGGAAACAACTAGAGAAATCTGAACACTGATCATAGTTATATTAAGAGTCTGTTTGACTTACAGATATATATGAGTATTTGTAAAGAAAATGTTTTATCTGAGATACAGATACAAGATTGAGCACATACTGATAGCTGCTGAACCTGGGTGATGAGTAATTATTTTGTTTTTCTTTTATTTTTCTTTAATGTTTCCTATAATAAAGGGCTAAACAATAACAACAAAATAATTGGAACCATTGAGTACAAATAACTCTCAGGGGGTTTCATCGTAAAGAGCAGTAAGAGTGTGGGGTCTAAGTGTCCACTTTTCAAGTTTTTTGTTAAGAAGTAAAACACATGAATAGGATGTAGACTTACCTTATAGCTTGCAGATTTAATTCCATCAGGGACTTCATCCTAAAAAAGACCAAAAATTGCTTTGATATGGCATTCTCTCTTCTGATAAAATATTTTAAATTATAATGATTTTTAATTATTAAATATATTTATTTTTACATCATTCTTCATTTTGTGCATTTTTTTATCTCGGTTGTAATCCCCATGGGCTTCCCACCACCAATTCCCCCTTGTGCCATCACCTTAGTCCTGTGCGCTCTTCCACCCAAGTTTTGATCCAATTTCCCTTTCCACCCCTGCAAAATGTCTCTGGCTTATAGTTGTTCGTTATTTTTGTTTTTACTTTATTACAATTGCTTTTTTTTTTTTTCCTGATCCCTTTCGCTCTGGCTATGACTGAAACTATCTGGTATTTTTCTTTTTCTTTCTGGCTTATTTCACTAAGAACGAATCCTTCCCACTCCATTCATGTTGCTGCAAAAGGCATGAATTTATCTATTTTGATTGCTGAGTAATATTCCGTTGTGCATATGTACCACATCTTCTGAATCCAGTCATCTATTTTGGAGCATTTAGGTTGATTCCACATCTTCCTTATTGTAAATAGAGCAGCAATAAACACGGCGGGTGCAGGTGTCCGTTTGAATCAATGTTTTGTGTCCTCTGAGTAGATACTTAGGAGTGGGATTGCTGGGTCATATGGAAGCTCCATCTTTAGCAGTTTGAGAAACCTCCAAACAGCTTTCCATAGTGGCTGGACAAGTTTGCATTCCCACCAGCAGTGTAGGAAAGTTCCTTTTCTCCAAATACTCACCAACATTTATTGTTGCTATAAGTTCGATTTATTTTTAAGCACTACAATGACTGAAAAGTTATTATTTTCTTAAAAGTAAATTAAAAATTCGGCCCTCCCTGGTGGCGCAGTGGGTTAAAGTGCAGCACAAAGAAGCTTAAGCCACTTCCGCATGAGTTCGATTCCTGCCTGCCCCGCCTGCCCCGGAGGTGACCACATGGCGAGGCAGACCTCTCCTGTCTCGGCCGCTCCTCCCCTCAGCAATGTACTTCATCCATCTGTCTGTTCTGCTTCCCACTCTGTCTCTGGTGAGTCCTCTCACCCTCCACATCTCTGGCCTGTACCCCAGTTCTGTACAAATAAATAAATATATCTTTAAAAAAAAAAAAGTAAAGTAAAAATTCAATAGGCATCTTTCCTGCCTGCTTGTCTCTAAGCTGGTGTTTCTTTCCACAAAACTTCCCTTTGAAAAAAGCAGGAGCTCTCCCCTCCCAGATATGATGATATGCAGGTACTTCTTTTTCTTTCTCTTTTCCCTAATAAATCTGTCCTTTTAAAAATGTAAAAACAACAACAACAACAACAAATTGTTCTGTGGGTTAATCATATACAATATTACAGTGTGGATATATAAAATTAGTCATAGCCGTTCTCCTTTTGATGCTCAAATTATCACACATTTTGGTTACTAGGAAAACCACCAAATGGTGATTTGATATATATACCTGTCTTTTACATGCTATCCAGTAACCTCTAGCAAAATTTTTTGGTTTCTATATAATATTCCAGGCTCATCTTGCATATTTGTCGTCCTAGTCTTGGAATTAATCATTTTGTAAGAAAGCCTAGATCTTTTCAGGAAAAACTGATAGTGACTTACAGTTGTGTACTGGTCACTTACTAACTAGGACCTATCTGCCTATCCTCAAACTGATGCTGTAAGATAATGATGTGACATGGGAGAATTCTGTAAACTGCAGGGTTCTATTCCAATGCTTAGTATATTCCTGAAATAGAATAGACCTGCCCAGAAGAAAGGACCCACACAGAGACAATCACTTCACTGTGTACCCCGCCAGACGCTGAACAAGGTCAATGTATATTCTTTTTCTATGATCAGGCATTTAGATGGTTTTTATTTTTTCACACAATAAGCCATGTCACATTTATAGACTAATTCAGCAGAACTGACATCTTTGAAGTACTCACCACAGATGTATAGTTATCTTTGAATATTAATCCAATTATTTTTGTAGCAAAACTACAAGGTCTAGGATTGGTACCTTTTAATTTTTTGACACATGTGCCAAATTAATTTCCAAAAAGACTCAATCACCAGAGTGCTCATTTTTATTATCAGACTACACTGGATATTGTCAATTTTTTAACTGGACAATTAATAATGGAAGTGGAATAATGTTTGATTCACTGTAAAAAAAAATAAAAAACTAATTTCTTAACTTGTAGAGTCTTGCCTCAACAAGCAAACAATCTACCGAATTCAAATATTTTCTGGAAGCAGAGGTACAAATCAAAAGATAAAGACTTTGTAGTGCCAAATACAAGGAAAAATCTGAATATTATTTTCTAGCTCCTTCTGGGTCTCACAGTATAACCAATTGAAAAGCAAAGTGTTGACAAAAAAGGAAAATAGTCATATTTTCTAGTTTATTTTAGCCAAAAAGACATTAATAAAAGAGCAGCAGAACATTTGAAGTAGTGAGGTAATTGTGTTTAACCTTGTATATATTTTGAATTAAGAACTGTGAATTATTTTGGATGTAACTACACTGTCTTTATGATGTATGTCTTTATTTTAAAATGGAGACTGAAATAGGTAAAAGAGATGTCTAGATAGCAGTAGTACAATATAAAAGCTCAATATGAAAACATATTATTTTGGCTGAATCAATTATTTCAAAGTACTTGAAATGAAATTTGATGGCTCAAATTTGATCATTCATTGGTTCCAACAGACTGCGCTATTTAGGAATCACAAGGACTGAACCCAGACTTGTCCTAAGAGTAATATATATGGCTCATTCCTCAGGGACTTAAAAATGGAGTTTCGATGTAAAAATAAACTGTTTATATATATATATATATATATATATAAACAGTTTATATATATATATATATATATGAGTTTCTGCATGCCTCGCTTTACTACTCCCTTTTGCCTCTAATTTTATAGTGGCTGTATGTTCAGTATATCTTCATTAATCAGCCCTCACAGCTGTATTAAAATGACCAAGTAGTCTTTCTCTCCCCTACTATCATAAGTTTCTTGAGATAAAATGCTCACTTTATATACCCAGGTCATAGCACAGAATAGTCCCTCAAGCTATACCTATCATTGAACCAAATGGCATCTAGTTGCTAACTGCGATTCCTTTTCACATCATCATTGTCTACTCTCAACTCTCAACAATATTTCCAATCGTTCTTCTAAATTATGGGTCTAGTCATGGCACTTCGGTGTTATGCTAATATATGTTTATAAACTAAAAACATTTTTAGGTGGACATTTTCTAATTATCTTTTAAAGACATTACCTTTTCTCAAAAAAAAAAGATATAAAATAGTACAAACACTGTGAAAGAGTGTATAGCAACCCTCAAAAAATTAAACAGAACTACTAAATGATCCAGCAATTCCATTTGTGAATATGCAACCATACAAAATGAAAGTAAGGACTCAAACAGGTTTGTACACCCAAGAAAAAATACTAAAATGATTTGCCTTATATAACTTACTTAGGATAATTAACTTCATAAAGGAAGTTGCTGGAAGGAAAGGGAAATAGGAGGTAAGTATAATATCATAGTGTTTCAATTTGGGAAAATAAGGCTGTTCTGGAGGTGGATGATAATACAATGTAAATGTACTTAATGTATTGAACTGAACACTTTTAAATAGTAAACTTTATGTGGTACATATTTCAACATGAAGAAGTAAAATAAGCACTCTCCCTGGTGACGCAACAGGTTAAAGCACAGCACTAGGAAGCTATTGAAGCCACTGCAACACAAGTTCAATCCCCGGCCAGAGGAGTGACCCACATGGGGCGTCAGACCTCTCTTGTCCTGCCCGCTGCTTCCCTCAGCAGTGTGTTTCAGTACATCTGCCTGTTCTATTCCCCACTCTGTCTCTGGTGAGTCCTCTCCCCCACACACACACCTCTGAACTGTATCACAGTTCTGTATGTATAAATAAATACTTTAAAAAAAAGTAAAGTGATAAACCTTTATTTTAAAAGTCTTCACTGAAAAGTATAAAACTTTCTGCTTTTAAGTTTTAATGCTCTTAGAATTTTTCTGTAAAACCAGTTTTATCCAATTCTTTCCAAGGAAAACAAAACAGCCACAAAAAAAGGGGAAGGATTTTTGTCTATTCCTCTATTAATTTCATGTTATTATACTACAAACATAATTTTGTCCAGGTAAAATGTAAGAACAATAGCAATTATCAATCAAAACAACTATCAACTCCACTAAAAGGTAAAAGGATGCTATTAACCACAAAATTTAGCTATTATTATGAAGGAAGTATAATTCAAAGTAATATAATTCCGCATTTGTAAATGTAGGTTTTCAGTATTAATCTGTAAATATAAAATGCCATTGTATTTAATTTAGAAGTTGAAATATCGTTGTCATATAAGCCCCTTAAAATAGTGGCAATTATGGGCTCTCCCTGGTGGCACAGTGGGTTGGAGCGATGCATTGCGAAGCTAAGCCAAGCCGTGGCCACTTCAGTGCAAGTTTGATACCCGCCCCGGAGGTGACCCACATGGCTCAGCAGACCTCTCCACTTGCCAGCAGTTCATCTCAGCAGTGTACTTTGTTGATCTGCTTGTTCTGCTCCCCACTCTGTCTCTGGTGAATCCTTTCACTGCTCCTGCACCTCTGTCTGTACCCCAATTCTGTATGCATAAGTAAATAAATCTTTTTTTTTAAAAAAAGTGGCAATTTAAAGAAGGTGTTTAAATAAATACATGTTTCTTACTGAATGGCAAGGCTTGACAGCACAATCCCTCCTTCCACACTGGCTAATATCATTCCAGAAAGGACACGGTCTCTTCAAGTTTACCTATTAAATAACAGAAAGAAAACTATAAAAATGAGAATCTTGAGATAAATGACAGATGTTGGATTTTGACGCTATAACCTGGTCATGTTATCAGCTTCAAATTATTGTATTTCTTCCGCTTAACAGTTGTTACATTCTAATGATTATATAAATGTGTTGTCAGTAGAAGTAAATTAAGACTTGAAGACAGATTGCCACTAGCTAGTAGATCCCTAACGAGATGGCAACTAGGAATCCAGGTAGCTCAGACTATCACTGTTCAACGCATATTTTTTTTAAACAAGAAAGAATTAACAGGTAGAACAGTGAGACAACTGTGATCTGTGACTTGAGCTACATATTGCATAATCAGGTTTTCTAAATTCTTTCAGTATACCTCTCAAGATAATTGCCTTATTAAAGCCATATGGGTGGTTTTAATACTAGGTGGTTTTATTAAACCCTCCATGGTGGTGCAACAGTACTGTAAAGTGATCAGCAGCCACTGCAGTACAAGTTCAATTCCAGACTGGAAGGTGACCCACATGGAATGGCAGACTGCTCTTGACCTGTCTGCTGCTCCCTTCAGCATTTCAGTCAATCTGCCTCTTCTGCTCCCCACTCTGTCACCTCCCATATCCCTGGCCTTTATCCCAGTTCTTGTATGCATAAATAAGTAAATATATTTTAAAAAACCCACATGGGTCACAACAAAGTCTTGCTCCTTCTCAAAACTACTTTATGAAAACAATTAATTAAAACACGAGGGCCCTCTCGGGTGGTGCAGCGGCACAGCACTAACAAGCTAAAAGCCACTTCAGCATGAGTTCAATCTCCACCCCCAAGCTGACCCACATGGCGTGGCAGACCTCTCCAGACCAGCCCACTGCTCGCCTCAGCAGTGTACTTTGTCAGTCAGTCTGTCTCTGGTGAATCCTTTCACCGCCCCTGCACCTCTGGCCTGTAGCCCAGTTCTATATACATAAATAAATAAATCTTTAAAAAAAAAAGTAGAAGAAATCTGATGTTTTAGAAAATCATAAGTGTCTCACAATTTTGATTAACATACAAGTTTCTGTTCTGACTTTAATTTAATCAACTCTTTTCTAACTTAAACAGTGCAAAACCCAGTTACTGTAATTAAAAGTACCAGTGGGTGGTCTAAGAAGCACATGATTAACTTTTAAGAATTGAATTTCCCTGGTATAACCTTTTTTAAAGTGGCCAGAAAATTGAAGTTTAGTAATTTCTAAGAAAATATAATTATCCATTTAAACTTTAAATATTTTCCTGCATTAATAGTTAAAAAAAAAAGTACCTTATAATATCTAAAGTAGTCACTTTCAAGAAGCTTTTGTAGTCTTGGGAAAAGCTTGTAGTTATTAAATCTATCGATGGTTTCAACATCACAGGTACAGTCATCCAAGTAGCCACTAACCTGTCAGAAAGAAAATGAAGTGTTAGATCCAAGAGGGTTTTTTTCCTTCACATACTTTTCTCCCTATTCAACCGATGTCTATACCCTTACCATAATTTACTGAGATGGATTAGGAAAGTATTTAGTAATTCTGTTGCTTTCACTATATATAGAGAATAAGCAGTGAATACCTTTTGTTGGATATACCAAGTTTATAAACTCTTACACACACACACACACACACACACACACACACACAGAGTTATTCCTCTGCAGCCACTTTGCTGTCACGCCCTCCCGGCAGGACCAGAAGTCAGCAATGACCCAAACCTGGTCAATGTCCTCTTTCCAAGAAACTGGAGGTGAGATTAATAGGGAGGCATGTCTCTTCCTGGGGTTTAACCAGTAAACAAACTCAGACCATATTTCGTCATGTGATCTGAGCAGTATATGAGTCAGTAAAGAAAGGAAATATTTTAAAATATACACACAGAAGCAGAAGAAGAAGATAGAGAACACACACTATTTGGATTTCTGGGGTTTTCCAGCTCCCCGTCACAGCTGTTTTTCCTGAGGTCCATTTGGATTACCATTCGTGATTTTCCTGAGACTGTATGTTTGCAATTCAGTTGTCTCTGTCTTCTTTTCTATTGGAAATGCTTTTAGTTTCTCATAGGGTGTGTAGCTCATAGACAAGTTTGGTGAACTTGTAAGTGATATTAAGTTTAAAAGAGAAAGTAAGTGATATTAAGTTTATAAGAGAAAGAAGAATTCATTATAGGGTTATAACAATCCTCAAATATATGGTCATAACAGTTTGTATAGGTTTTAATTGGCATTTATAAATTACTGATTAGTAAACTATGATGGCAAATTGGCCACAAAGTCAATCTGATCTTCAAATGCCTAAAACTAGTATACTAACTGCTCAATAAATCAAATTACAAAATGCACCTATGCAGGATGCAACAAAAAAATCATCATATTATAATGGGACAATGTTATCCTTTGTGAAACTAAAATTCTTACATATTTATTTGGAATTAAATAAATACCCAATAGATTCATTAAACAGTGCTTTAAGTAACAAATACAGTATAATTTGAGAAGACATTTAACATATAATATGCTACAGAAGAGATTCTTATACTTTGGCCTGAATATTTACATTATATACTACTTATTAAATAATAATTTATGGAAATGCTGAATTTAGATGATTTTCCTTTGGAATACCTTTTAATAGTTACACTGCCTTTAATTTTAGAATGTCACATAGAGTAATGAAAATTTTTTATCTAATAAATAAGAATACTTGGTTGATGACAGCAATATTTAAGAACTAAGACCTTTTTTTTTTTTTATGGTTTATTTCTTTATTCATACAGATCTGGTTTACAGGCTAGAGTTGTGGAGGTTGATATGTTTCACCAGATACAAAGTGGGGAGCAGAACAGGCAGATCGACGAAGTACACTGCTGAGGGGAGCAGCGGGCGGGTCAGGAGAGGTCTGCCACGCCATGTGGTCACCTCCGGGCAGGCGGGAATCGAACTCATGCGGAAGCGGCTTTAGCTTCTCAGTGCTGTGCTTTAACCCGCTGCGCCACCAGGGAGGGCCAAACTAAGACCTTTTTTTAACCAATTTGCCTAGTTTTATTTGTTTGGGACTCTCAGTTTCAGAAATCTAATGTACACATTTTGTCACTGTAATAACTATTTTCATTTCATATGCAAATTTGTTCATTTCCTGCTAAAACTTCTCTGAATGTACAATGGATTGAGTCCTAATTTTGGGGACCAACAAATAAAGGTGTTTCTGACCCAGATGGCTTGATTTCTCACACCTCTTTCTTTTGCGTTTAAAAGCAGAACTTCTGAGGACATAAAATAGCTACTGCTTTTCCCCTTAGATAAAAGTTATTTTATATATAAAAAAAGTTATTTTATAAAGAACCATAGGAACAAAGATTGGAGAGGTCAAAAGGACATGCAAAGAAGCACATTAAGTCATACACAACCAAACACACAAAAAATTTGAGAGGGCAGATTTGAAGTAGTCCATTCTTCCCCACTGAAGAATTCATTTTTTAAAGAGAAAAATCTATCTTCAACACTCAGATCAGGGATCACCTCTTCTGGAAAGCTGTCTTGCAGGTACCACTCATCATCTGTGGGTTAACCACCTCTTCAATATGCTCCCAAAACACTCCACATACTCCCAGTAAGAATCACTTCCCTGAACTGAATTTCAGTCCTGTCCATTAAAGTTTAAAATCCTTGAGAGCAAAACTATGTGTTTCGTTTTTTTTTTTTTTTCACTTTTGTATTCCTAGCATTTAGCACTGTACTTCTAGAAGCACACAAGTGTTCAGTGTTTGTGGGGGGAGGAATTAATGCTATCCACTCTCACTATCCTTCCCTGGAGGCCAGCAACACCCTGATTGTAAGTATGAATTTCCATAACTATTGTGGTGTCCAGTGCCTCAAATCACACAAGTCCAGGTGGCAGCATTCACAGAGCAAAGAAGAAAGAGTAAAACAACCCTTTGCACTCTCCATCATACTGATCATTAGCAAGTAACACAGAAAACTGTAAGAAGCTCCACACCAGAAAGAAAAGCAAAACACCTCCAGAACAGGAGAGAAGGCAGGACAATGGTGAATCTGAAAATCTTCTGCCCACTGCTTCAGAAACTAAGTAGAAGGTTGTCCCAACTACAGTGACAGGTAGCAGAGCAGCTAAGGAGCTAGAGCAGGGGTGACAGGAGTTTTGACAGATGCAGGACTCCTGCAAAGGAAGCTACTTGGAAATCCAGGCTCTGTGACCATCCAGGTAAACCTACAAACAGGTAGCAGAACCTGATCTCTGGCAGGAATCCTGGCAGTTATTATCCCAGACCCAGTCCTAGAAATTAAAGAACCACACGTGCTACCAGAATAGCATCTCTGTTCTGGAAAGGACTAGTAAGAAATCCAGTTAAGCAACCTGGAATAGGAACACAAAAACAGAGCAAACGACTCAAATGAGTGCAAAAGACAGGTGCTGATTTCTAACAAAGATAGTGACACCGTGATGTGCTCAAGCTGGCTTAAGAACTGCTATACCTATCCTCTAATGCAAAACAGAACTACAGTCCTAACCAGGACTCTAAAATTTTTAAAAATTGTACCCTCTTAAGGTCCTCTCCCACCTACCTCCATCCTTCCCACACACCCCCACACAAAGTGGTCAGAGCATTCTAAAATGCTGCTCTAGGCTTCAGGAGATGTTCAGCTTTAGGTAAATGAGGGGCAAATTAATAAATAGTGATTAAAAAGCCCCAGTTAAGGGACAGTAGATATAAGGACCAAAACAGGCATGATAGGTGATACCACCTAGTTTAAGTTGCCAGTCACTTAAGCGTTGGAAAGGTTTTGAAGGCATTTTTTGGAAACTTTCTAAGTAACACAACAACCCACAAGGATGAGGGATGAATAGAAATGATTAGCATGCAGGCCCTGAGTCAGGTCTTCCTGAGTTTGGATCCTGTCTCCACTACTTAATAGTACTTGTTGAACTTATTGCCCACTCTAGGCCTTACTTCCGTATCTGAATAAAAATAGAAATAAGCATTCCCATTTCAAAGAGTCGGTACCAAGATAAATGTCCCCAAAAATGTAGTCATTATTATTCCCCTACCAATTCTTAAATTCTTTCAATGAAAGAAATCTTGGTATTCCCAAAGCAACCCACATTTTAAAAAAAATAATATATTAGTTTAATTTTACATCATTTTGTGCCTTTTTCCATCTCAGTTGTAATCCCCACGGGCCTCCCACCACAAAATCACCATAGTCCAGTGCATTTCCTCCTCCCCCCATTTTTGATCTTATTCCCCACTCCACCCCCATAAAATAACCCTGGTATATAATTGATCATTATTATTTCTTCCTCCCCACCCCCAGTCCTTTATACGCCTGCTCTGATATTTTTCCTTTTCTTTCGGGCTCATTTCACTAAGCATGATCCCTTCCAGCTCCATCCATGTTGCTGCAAAGGCATGAGTGTATCTGTTTTGATTGCTGAGTAGTATTCCATTATGTATACGTACCACATCTTTTTAATCCAGTCACCTACTTTTGGGCATTTGGGTTGATTCCATGTTTTTCCAATTATAAATAAAGCAGCAATAAACATGGGGGTGCAGGTGTCTTTTTGAATTAGTGTTTTTGTGTCTTTTGGGTAGATACCTAAGAGTGGGATTGCTGGCAACCCACATTTTTTTTTAAGATTTATTTATTTATGTATACAGAACTCGGGTACAGGCCAGATATACAGGGGCGGCGAGAGGATTCACAAGAGACAGAGTGGAGAGCAAAACAGGCTGACTAATGAAGTACACTGCTGAGGGGAGCAGCCGGCGGCTCAGGAGAGGTCTGCCGCGCCGTGTGGGTCACCTCCAAGGAGGGGGATCAAACTCATGCGCAAGTGGTTTTAGCTTCTTAGTGCTGTGCTTTAACCCACTGTGCCACCAGGGAGGGCCCAACCCACATTTTTTTTAATGAGTAAGAAAAAAGTTTGTAGCTAAAATTTTCCCAAAATTGGGTCCTCCCTGGTGGTGCAAGGGCTTAAAGCACAGCACTGTAGCCACTGCAGCAACTGCAGCACAAGTTCGATCCCCCGCCTTGGAGGTGACCCACATGGTACAGAAGACCTCTCCTGACCCGTACATTGCTCCCCTCAGCAGTGTATTTCAACAGACCTGCCTGTTCTGCTCCCAACTCTGACTCTGCTGAATCCTCTCACCCCCTGCACTTCTGGCAGTTTTGTATGCATAAGTAAATAAATCCTTAAAAAAAATTTATATCTATACCCCTAATGGAACACTAAACTAGATAACCTTTGGTTTGGTTACCTGAGTTAAGTTATCTAGGAAGCCTCAATTACCTTTTCTACTGATTCTGATTGGTTTGGACCAAAAACAAAAGGCAAGGGAAAAGAAATAAAATACTGTCTGACCTGTTCACTATTCTCATATTAT